AAAAATTAAAATGGATAAATTTGTCAATAAAATTAAAAAATTCTAATCCACTAGTGGTTTGGTACAAAAAGTTACATAAATTAGCTTTTTCAATCTGCTAACGATTTGGATCCTAACAGTTATCCGCTAGTCTCAAACCACTAAATAAAAATTTTACCAAATATTTTAGTTGTAGCGGTTTCGAAATATATAAATGTACCAAACACCTATATTTAGCGATTTAGGTAAAACCATTAACCGCTACCCCAAAACCGTTACACCAAACAGGGCCTTAATCCCTCACCTTATAATATGACAGTTTTCGTTTTTTATCTTGCAAAGTTGATAAATCTTAGCCCCTCATCTTACAAAATTGGTAATTTGTAACCCCTTAACTTATATTATGATATTTTTAGCCCCTCATTAATACGAATTAAAGAAAATAACCCTCACCTAACATCAAGTTATAACGTTCTGTTAGTTAACTATTAACATCTGTTAACATTCCGTTATAAAAAACATGAAATTTAAATTCAATTTTATTTGTTAGCTTCATTAACGATATGCTAATGGATTCTAACAATCAACTAACAAAACTGACAATCAGCTAACAGAACTAATAGAACATTATAATCAGATGTTAAATAAAGGTTATTTTCTTCAATTCGTATAGATAATGAGCTAAAAGTGTCAAAATATAAGATGAAGGGCTAAAATCTATCAATTTTGTAAGGTGAGGGGTTAAAACTTATCATGTAAGATAAAAGGCTAAAAATATCATATTATAAAGTTAGGGACTAAAACCTACTAATTTTATAAAGTGAAAGGTTAAAAGTTAGTTTTAAGCCCTCTCCATCACCCTCCTCTCCTTTCCCTCATATCACCTTTGATCCAAACTGTGTAAACCTTTTTCTTTACAATCTCACCTCAAATTGAGATCCATTACCCACTCAAAGTCAAAATATAAGGCACAGAACTTCTCTTTCTACCCTCGTAATTAAAAGATTAAGAACACAAGTATAATGTCTGAATTAGATCTTGTTTGGTGTAACGATTTTGGGGTAGCGGTTAGCGGTTTTACCTAAATCGCTAAATATAGGTGTTTGGTACATTTATATATTTCGAAACCGCTACAACTAAAATGTTTGGTAAAATTTTTATTTAGCGGTTTAAGACTAGCGGATAACGGTTAGGATCCAAATCGCTAGCAGATTGAAAAAGCTAGTTTATGTAACTTTTTGTACCAAATCACTAGTGAATTAGAATTTTTTAATTTTATTGACAAATTTATCCATTTTAATTTTTTAATTTGTGATCACATTTTTTAATTAATAATTATCTAATAAATTTCAGTTTTGTTTTTTTACCTTTAATAA